ATATAGAATCATTAATTACGTATACAAACCTTATAAAAAACGTATCATTTCCTTATTTCGATTTCTTATAGGGAAAGCCTTATAAGTCTTTCCTGGGAGAGTTAAAAAAATATGGATGTAAGCATGCTTTCAGAATCCTGGTGATAAGAATCCAACTCTAAAACAACTTAAACGTTTTTCGAGAATCGCACTGAGATAAGAATCAAACCGTTTTGATGCAAACAATAATTACACTAGAGGTGATACAAAATTAGAAAACTCCAGTTTTGAATATGACCATAAATCTGAATCTGTTCCTGAGACAAATGGTTCAAAACCCCAGCCTGATTCTCAAAAGTCTCAGACAATAGAAATGGATTCCATGTTAGCTGAAATTGATGCAATGTTAACTGAAATTCAGAAATAAATTTCTCACTTATAGCTTTGGTACTGCTGGAGATGAGCCAGCTGTTTAGTGAAATATTTTTTAGAGTTGATATATAAAAATAATTGAAAAGCTTTTCTCCTGAAAATCTTTGATTGAAGAAGGGATTATCATATTTGTTTTAAGGACTTTCATGTTTTGTGACGATCATAGTCTTAACTAGAAGTATAGTAGACTTTTTTTGTGACATATGTTTGAAAAGGGTCATAACATAAAGATAAGGTGAGATAGTCTTTTTATCTGCTATGGCAAAAATTGAACAATATAAACTAATTGGTATTATACATATCTTTTCATTATTGATCCTGATTTTATTCATGATGCTCATTTCTAAGATGTCTATTTTTAGAATGCTCATTAGTCTTGATATGTAAAAAATATTTATGTAAGGAGAAATGGCGAGAAATCTTCTTTATGATTTAACAGTATGACTAGCAAACTACCAGCAAGTTCTTCAGAAATTCATGTGAATAATACAAAGGTTTTTAACTTAAAGCACTTTCGTTAAATTTCCTGAGAAACATTTCTGAAATAACTAATGAATATATCTCAAAACTTATTTTTTATCACTTTTGCGATAAAGAAAATTTTGCTTTACCACTTCAATTATTCACAGTATTATCATGTGAACATATATACCATCAAATATATCTTGAAAAATATATTGTATGATCAAAAACATGTCTTCCTTTATGCTCTATTTCTAGATATATAACACTCATTCGAACTTATTAGGGAGGAACTTGCACTAGCTTCTGATGAGTATCATATAATGTCTAAGAATAAGGATTTCAGAAAAAAAGACCCCTTAAGTGATAATACTATAGAAGGTGAAGATTCTCTTGTGGGTCAGGGGGAAAAGAGAACTGAAGTTATTACATATGATCAAGTGACAAGTCTAATTGCATATGTGGAAGAGATACCAGAGCTATCAGATATTATCGATGATGCTGAAAATGATGATGATGGAAATAACAATCATAGTTCTCAAATAATGTAAGTAATGCAGTGAAAATGGAATATGTAGTAATCACACTCACCTTTCATTCTGTTTATTCCCTAAAATCTATGATTGAAGGATGGATAATTCGACTAATCAAACAACTGAAGATGACATTGCTAATACATAAATCCGATCATCAAGAGAAACATCCCTAAGAACCAATTGTGAACAGGAATGATTTTGAGGATTGTTACATGAATTATCTACACCTATTAAGGGAAAGACTACTGAAACCAATAATGAGGATGAGGGTTCTGAGGGTTCGATCTCGCAGAATTTAGCTTGATTATTCCAAAAAGCAATTAAGGCTGAAAAACATGTAACTCAAGCTTATCAAGAGGAAATTCCCTGTTGGTACTACTATGCAGAAAAGTTCAAAAAAAATGTTAGGGATATTAGAAATAATGATAGTAGGGTTACGGATCAATAGGTTAGAACTAGAATTTACAATGAAATATTAGGTCATACCACGGGTGTTACAAGAGAAAATTTACGCAAGAATAAAGTGTAGATCATTGCAGATCGCGTGAACCATGGTTCACGCTCACGTGATGTAAGACGCAGTAATTTAATAAAAACGTTTTATATATTACAATACATGATTTTTAATGTATAATATTCAAAAAAAATTTCTTTACTCGTCTTTTAACCAGCACAATGCTGTCAATACCTGTTCTTATGGCCTTTTATCACGTTACGGCGACTGAGGACTGGACGTGTATTAATGTAGTGGAATATTATCGTACGAAAGTAGAACAAAAAGATTTCAAACAAGTGCTGGATCGCGTAAGAAAAGACCTTCAAGAGGTTGCAGATTTTAATTCCGAATTTGACACGACGCGTAGCAGGAGATACTAGATAATTGGAAGGTACACACATTCGTCAGTCAAAGTTTTAAACGAGTTAAGAGCTTAGTCCATACAGTGATGAACTGCTAGTTCGACGCTTAGCGCAAGCTGGGACTGTTAGTCTACCAGTGACGAACTGCTAGTTCGACGCTAGTGCAAGCTGGGACTGCTAGTCTACGGGGACGAGCTCTTGGCTCCTCTTCTATTTTACATTTTTATCGAAAATGTTTTCAAGTTTTATTTAACTGTATTTTTTTTCGTCAAGGAATGGGTTACGTCAATGAAGAACCTGAAAAAGATTTGCGCGTTAATATTCAGGTGTGCTTCTGATTCGAAAATTTTGCACGCTAAAAAAAGATAGAGTAACATTTTTGTCAATTAGGTAGAACAACAAATACTTGCAACAGATTCCGCGAATCAGACCATCCACACTGTCAACAGTCGTTGTGGAGAAAAAATGCAAAGTGCTTCAACTCAGGTAGATCCTTAGTCGCGATCAGTTATACGCTACGAAAATTTGTTTTTAATTAATCATGAATATGTTGCTTCCGGCATCCTAAGTTTTTAATGAGAATTTTGACTGCCTAATAAATTTTAACTCCTTCTTTTGTATTTAGTCCGATGATGATTTCATGCCTGTCCGTATACCAAAGCGGAAACAGTTATCCCTTACGAAAAAGGTT